CCCAGAATGCTACATCACAGCCACCCGCTCAGGATATCACATCAGAAAACTCAGGAAATTACACCGCAAGAACTCAAGAAGTTGCAACACAGCAAACGACCCAGAAAATCACAGCACAAGACCAAGGATACCACAGCAATAAAACTCACAAGATCACCAAACAACCCATTACCCAAGTTGCTACAATACAGGAGGCTAATGGAAAAGAGATCAAAACACAAACAACCCAGGAGATTAAAGCACAAGATCCAGGATATCTCCACAACAAAACTCACAGGGCCATCACACAGCCCATTATACCAACATCAACTCCATCAACCAATCAAGAGGCAGCAGCACCCCCACTAGCAGTTAAAAGGAAGAAGCAGCTGCAAGCTCACATTACTCCGAGAAGCACAAAGCCTGAAGAAGATGAATGAGACTTCGTCAAAACGTCGCCAAGATACTTCCAAAGTTACGCGGGAGAAAACCCGAATAATCAAAGATCCATATATATTATAGATAGAATGAAAATATGTATTAGTACTATCTGACTTAGCAATGTAATGACAAAGATGTCAGTTAAGAGGATTGTACCATGTTCAATATTTTTAATGTATTTTGGACTTCCAGTTTGGGCTTCTTCAGCAACAGACCAAAATCCGCAATCGTGTGCAGTTTTGATCCGTGCTCACTGCTGGAACACCCGATCCTTTGGATACGGGGCTGAAGCCACCTGGTAGAGGTGGCGAAGAGGGGGGAGACTGCCAGCTGAGTTGAGGGGAGCCGCATCTCTCCTTCTCGGCTGGTCATTACTCCCTTTCCCAAAGGTTGTTTAAAGAAATGGCCACTTCAAAGAAGAACCTGACCAGACAAGAATGAGCAGGAGGAAGACAAAGGGGAGAGCTTTACAGACCGGGCTAACATATATGCAAGGTACCCTGGAATTTAAATTATCAAGAGTGTTTCTCCTAAAAGAAGATCTTTAAAGTGGAGGAGGAGAGAGGGAAAAGTAAAAAAGATTTCTTTTTCTCCCTAACACTGACAGCTGCAATTGGCTTTGAGTTCTAAAAAGAAGAAATTTAAATAAGAAATTTGTGTTAATTTACTTAGACACTAACAGGCAACTTTAAGCTGAAATTAAAGAGTCAAAGGGAAAATAAAGACTTTCTGGATATTCTAAAGCCTTCAAGAGGAGGAAAGTAGAGGAAAAAAAGAAAGGGTGGGACTTGGAAACAGCAGAGTACCACCTGGAAATAAAAAGAATTAACAGTGGAATTATAACAAGACTTCCAAAGGATACATTTTAACTGAAACTTTGCTACAAGATAACAGAGCCCCCGGAAAGGGAAAGGGAAAAAAAGAATCGGGAAGAAATAGCTTTGGATTATTTGGTGATTTTTTTGAATTTTGGGTGTTGGATTTCTAGTGGTTTGAACTAAAATTAATTGGGTGGCTGTTTAAAAGTGTTTAAAATGGCAGTACTCCTTGAGGAACTAAAAATGGAACTCAAAAACATGAAAAAAGAGTTACAAGAGGGAGGAGGATTCTTTGGCTTTGCATTTCAATTTTTAGAAATGGAGATTCTGAACTATGAAAAACAACAAGAAATCCTTGAAGAACAAGAAGGACTGGACAAAGAAGAAGCCATCTTTAACGAACAAATAATTCCATGTAGAATGGGAAATGGGAAAAGGAAGGAAAGGGAGTAAAAAACTCAAGATCTGAGGAAACAACTAAAAAAAGAATAGTTTGAAAAGTAAATATAATATAAGGAAGAAGCAGAAGAGAGGATTACAGAAGGGAGTATCAAAGAGAGGGGGGGACAAAAAGGGTGGTGAGAAAAAACGGGGAAAGATAAAAAGGAAAAGAAGTTATAAGGGACAGAAATAGGAAATAAAGAAACGGGAAACGTACAAGGATTAGCAGTATTAGCCTAATTAAAAGACATAGAGAGAATGGTTAAAATATAAATTAAAAGAGGATTCTGCAAGGGTACAAGAGATAGTGTTGTTATATTAGAAATAGTAATGAACTAGAAAATATGAAACATATGTAATTAAAGTGAAAGACAAAACTGGTTAATAATTAAATGAAATAAAGAGAGAAAGGGAACAAAAGTAAAAGAGGGAATAAGAGGAATGAATGAAAATACTTTAATTGTTCTTAATGATTTATAAAATATAATTGAAAAGAAATGTAAAAGATTTATAATAAAATCAATATCAGTTGTCAGGATGAATTTGAATAGAATAACCATTTTATTAATTATTGTTATATATTCTTTTTTTAGAACTTATTGTGTATTTTTAAGCGGAAGTACCAACTGGAATTTGGCTGATAAGTTATATGATATAAAATAGATATTAAAAACTGAATGTTATAATTATATAATGTATAAACTAAATGTTAAATGAGATTTGAATGGATAACAACTATAAGATATAATGACAAAGGGGCCGAAGGGGCCACTGGGAGAGGCCGCCCCAGCAGTGATAGCACCCACCCATCCGTGGACAGGGAGGCAAGGCAACGGCCTGCACCACATCCTCCGAGCTGAGCCCCGCTGAATGAGCGCTTCTGCCTGATGCCTGTGCCGCTGCAGTGTTTGGAGCTGCTGGTGCGTTTGGAGATGCGTGGGGACGTGGACAGGCTGGGCGAGGGGTGGAAAGGACGAGAGGCTTCGGGCTCTCTCCACTGGACCCGCCGGCCAGGAAAGCAGCGCTGCCGTCACCTTGCCTCCCTGTCTGGGGATGGGTGGGCGCTATCACTGCCTCAGGCAGTGTCTCCTGGTGGCACCTTCAGGGTCGGGCTGGAGGGACTTGGGAAGGAAGCCAAATTCAGGTCAGCCCATCTCTTTCATTTGGCAGGTGGGCGTGCACCCGCGGCTCACTTTCTCGGCTCTGCCCAGCCCGCTCGGCTCCGGCGCAGCCCTGGTGGGATAAGCGGAGGGCCCAATGGGGAGGCGCTCGCTGCCTTGGCCAGAGCTCTGCCGCCGGGCAGGAGGGCCCGCCTCTCAGCTATGCTGGGTGCCCCAGGCGAAGCTCTTCACTCTCTGCCTGGTGCCAGACAGGGATGGCAGATGGGTGCTTCTCCCGGGGTGTCCTGATCCTGCGCTGCGGCTCTGGGACATTCGCCTCCCCACATGGGGTTGGGCTGCCCTCTCGGGCAGGGGAGGCTTTGTCGTACTGGTAGTAGGGTATCATTTTTAAAAGAATGGGCTTTGCCTTCGAACGATGCCCAGGAAGGCGGCGACAGGAACGCCTGAAGCTGAGTGTCTCTGCCAGGCTCCAGTTGCAGGGAAGAGCCCTGGCTGGCCACATGTGGCTGCGCCAAATGCATGGCTGTGCCAAATGCCGCCTGGCTGCTCCAAACGTCTGTTGCTCTAGACACCGCAGCAGCATGGGGAGAAGGGAAAGCAACGGTGGCGGAAGGTCTCCCGATAAGAAGTGCCCCACTAACGCTGAGGTCAATGCAGGCAGCACCATATCCGGGTGTGCAACAAAAGTACTTCCTAACGGCAAGCCCCCTCCGCCATTCCCCCCCATTTTGCATGTTTTAATATAGGCCTTAATTTGGGGGAAGGGGCTTAATTTCATTTTATGCCTATAAAACATGCTGGGACTTCCTATTGGGGGAGGCCATATTGTTGGGGAAACACGGTACATACATATTTATATTAATGTACTTTTTGTTTGTATTTGTTTGCTTAATAAAGAAAAATTTAAAAAAATAAAATGGAACAGACAGAAAAAATTAGAGGCAATGGACCAGAAGATAATGGTATATAATAAAGAAATGGAAGAATCTCTCATCCATCTCAAAATGGATCAGGCTTCTTTTTTCTTAAGGTTCCAGAATGTAACAGAAGCAAAAGAGGAGGATCTAGCAATACTGATGGCAGAGCTATTGGCAGAGACACTTCAGAGGGATAGTCAAGAAATGATAAAGGAAATTGATGATGTCTACAGAGTGTATACCAGTTATGCCAGGTGCCATAGACTCCCAAGAGAGGTGCATGTAAGGTTTGCACAAAAGAAAGTAAGAGACATTATCTATAAAATTACTAGGGAGGAACCATTGATGTATTAGGGAAAAGAAATAATCATATTGAAACAGATCCCCAGGAGAGTTTGTGTACAGCAGAAGGATTGCCAATTTTTGACAAGCCATTTAAATAAAAAGAACATCCTGTTCCAATGGATTACACCAGAGGGAATGGAATGAAAATAAAATAAAAAATTGATAACCTGGGAAAAGCCCAAGACTTTTACAAACAGCTGGCTGGATCGGAAGAGGAAAGCAGTAGCAGAGAGGAATTAGATCCACCTAGTCAAGATGAACAACAGCAAGAAAATAGAGAGAAGGAGCAAGAAAAGGGAAGTAGTGAGGAGAAAGTTAACCAAGAAGAGGAAGGAGTACAAACCAGAAACCAAAGAGAAACTAGAGCAAACTGAAGGCAGAGCAATCTCAGAACAGAAATAATAATGGAACAAAGACTAAAGTTAGTATCAATTAATGTGAATGGCTTAAATATACCAACAAAAAGAAGAATACTACCCAAAATAGAGAAACAAAAGATGGACGTTGTGTGACACAAGAAGTGCACATTAAAAAACAAGATGAGAGACTGGGAAGAAAAAGCATACTATTGGTAGGTATATATGCACCCAATAAAAATCAAAGCGAGTTTTATAAAAATATACATGATAGAATTATTGAATTCGGAAATCAAAATGTGTGTGGAATTGGTGACTATAACGCAATTGTAGACATCCAAAAAGACTACACCAATGAGCAAAAATGTAAATACAAAACAAACATACTACCGAAAACCATTTTTGAAATGTCAGAGGAGCTAAATTTAATGGATCTATGGAGAAGAATCCAGGAAAAACCCAATTCACTTTCTACTCCAACCCGCTTAAATCCTGGTCAAGAATAGACATGGCCTGGGTAAATAAAGATTTAATCAAAGATATTGAAAGAATAGAAATAATGCCAAATAGCTAGGCATCCCCTCAAAATAATATGGAAAGGACAGAAGAGGAAAAGAGGTAGATGGACGGTAAATGCACAAATTCTAAAAGAAAAAGAATACATCCAAAAAATCTTGGAAGAATTTGAATAATTTCTCAAAGATAATAAAAAACAGAATACCTCATTACAAAACCTATGGGACACAATGAAGGCACATTTGAGAGTGATAACAATAGCCTATATGACAAAAAGAAATAAAAAATGGGGAAATTACAATATATTAGTGGGGGAGATAAAGGAATTAGAAGATAAATTACAAAAAGAACAGGGGAAAGAACAAATTAAAAACAAATTGGCCCTAACAAAACACAAGCGGAACATTTTAGAGCAAGAAGAATTAGCAAGAAATTTAAAATATACAAAACAAAATAACTTTGAGTATGCAAAAAAACTGGCAGATGGTTGTTTCCCCCCCTTACCTGCGCTGAGCATGTGTGAGCCTCCCAGCTGTGTTTTGGCTCATTTGACGCTGTTTTTTGGCTCATTTGAGTCTGTTTTCACCCTCCCAGAGGCTCGAGGGAAGACTGCAGCCTCAGGAGGCCAAAAAATGGGCTTTCTGGAAATACCAGAAGTGCCCTTTTCAGCCTCCAGAGGGCCTGTGGAGCCCAGGGAGGCAATTTTTGTTCTCCTGGGAAGCCTCTGCATCCTTTGGATGCCATAAAACAGGCCCATTTCATCACTTCTGGTATTTCTGGAAGGCCTGTTTTTCAGCTTTCCAAGGCTGTAGAGGCTTCCCTCAAGCCTCAGGGAGGGTGAAAATGGCCTCAAATGGGCCAAAAATCAGCTGGGAGGCGTGCGCATGCACAGTGCAGGTAAGTTTGTTTGGGGCTCGCATGCCGGCACAGATGACTCTGCGTGCCACCTGTGGCACATGTGCCAGAGATTCACCATCACGCCATTATAGCTTCTAGTTACAAAATAGGTTAACTTTGAAATAAATTTGTATTCAATAGGTACTCAAACCACTGCAGACAGAGATCAGGCTTACTGAAAATTAGGAAACAGGCAATAACGTTTTTTCTTAGGAACAGCACTACATGATAACATTTTCTCTTGGGAGCATTGGGGAAACAAAATCTGTTTGTGAGGCTGTATGATTATGCCTGGCTAACCTTTTACTATAAACATTTATGTACTAATTATTGGTGTACTAATTATTTGTAGCCTGGATCCTGTCTTTTCTTCTTTTGTCTTTCCTCTCTAGAATCTCAGCTAAAACTCTGTATATTAGTTGACTGATACTACCAACCTTCTTCAAAATTGAAATCATAGAATCATAAAGTCAGAAATTTCCCAAGAATTCATGAAGTCCAAGCCCTTGCATGCTGCAGTATTTGCTATACCATTTTAGATAGATGTCTATCTAAGTCTAGAGTTTTCAAACTTAGCAACTTTAAGTTGTGTCACTGGGGAATTCTGAGGAGTAGAAGTCCACTCATCTTAAAACTTGCCAAGTTTGGAAACCCTCATTTCTTTGAAAATTTCCAGTGAAATAAACTAGCCTGTATAGTAATCTGTTGTAGAAAGCTGCCTGTTGTTTTTTTCCTCTCAAAGTAAAAGACTTAATTCTTCCTTTTTAATATTTTCCCAGTCAAAACTATTTCTTCTTTAAAATACTGGTTTAAATGTATTTTTGAGTGGAAACTTTTTGGTCTCACACAATATATTAATGACAGATTTATTTTATTGATTCATTCTAAGTATTTACTTACATTCATTAATGTAATAGTAGTTATATATACAGTTCAGACAGAACTGAACTGAAAATTGAATGAATAAATAAACAGCTGATTATTACAAAATAGACAAACAAAGAGAGTTGTTTAATATAATTACTAGAAATCCACGCATTAATATGTTATGGTTGGGCATGCTTCAAAATGGATTCAGAAATGGTGTTCCAAAATGCATGGGAGCATGGTTGGAGCATCTCTTTAAATTAGTTGCATCTTTATCAGGTTTTCACGCAACAGCTTGAATACATCTCATTAAAGCAGCGGTGTTTTCCCCTAGGCTCCCATGAAATTCTGAAAAAAGATCCAACCATTTTAAAAAGCTACTGTGCTTGTGCTCCTGAATGTTATGAAGCACTTTCTATGATAATTTTCTCAGCATGCACAGCCTTGCTATATTACTAACATTTTAAAATAAGCACCCTCCTTTGGAAAATAACACAGTTTCTTATTCTGCAACTAATTGAATGAGATATATTTAACAATGAAAACAATGTATTATTCTGAACCAATAGTTAGGCATGCCTTTGTAAAATACATTAAATAATGGAAAAGGAGGAAAACAAAAATCTATATTATAATGTGTCAAAAAATCCTGTGATTTTCAAAAAATATGCATAATATATATTCAATGCTTTGTCAAGCCACTATGCCTTTTAAAAAGATTTTCCCTTCATATCTGAAAATCAAGTACCTTCTTTTGACTGAAGAATTCATCCCATAGATATTTGCAAATGAAATATGGAAAAAAACATTCTCTAGGAAAGAGCTAGCTATCAGTTAAAATATATTGCATTTTATACATAGTGTATGTGTGTTTGTGTGTGCGTGCATATATAGAAGTAGAGATATAGATAGATGTATTGTGTATCATGTTTTGGTTCTTTTTTGCTTTCACTTGAGAATTATTGAGAGAAGTGGCCAAAGACATTTTGCTGCTTGAGAGAGCAAAATGTCAATTACACATCAGACATGGAATTGTATGTAAATCTAATCAAATTCTATTGCCATGTGAGACTGGGTATTGAATAAACTCCTTTCCACAGCAGGAAAAGCACAGTAATATTAAATAAAAAGCAATTCTCTGCTTTTCATGATTTCTAGAATCTTTTGATTAAGGTAGCTGCCTGAAGTCCTAACCCAGGGGGTCACTGGATGGTCACTCCTGTAATGAACCAAATCACTTACCAGCTTAGTCAACCATTAGCTATTCTGATCAGCAGTCAATTATAAATACTAGTGTGGTGAGATGCTGATGCAAAAATAGGAGGCTTATATCACATGTAAGTAGATGGATCTCAGAATTTTGGAAGAGAAAGATACTTTAAAAAACTGTATTAATTTTATTAAACTGTATTAAGTCTATTTAGGACATTATAAAAAAATAGCCGTGACTAAGGAAACAATATGAAATATGTTAAAGTTGAAAGGAAATGGCAAGTTATTAAGGAGGGATCTGTGCAAGAAAATACACAGTCCAGAAATAGAAGGAAGCCTGAAAAATAAAATAATTGTGTCTTGATTTTGGTTAGTGTAAGACAGGACAGAGAGCATTCCTTAGGGCAGGGGTCGCCAACCTTTTGGACCTCAGGGACCACCAAACTCATAATTTTAGATCCCAGAGACCACTAACTGGGTTCTATGGGTGTGGCCTAATTTGTGGGTGTGGCTTGATGGTCATGTGACTGGCTGGGCATGGCTTGAATGTAAATATTATAAATATTTATATAAATATTGAATTTTTTATAAAAAAGAGCAACTTTTACCCAACATCAGGCAAAGCAGGCAGGCAGATTGTTTTGCTCATAGAATCACAGATTCATTCAGAAATCTATCTATCTGCCATTGGCAAGCTCAGTCTGTCACATAAAATTTGCTTGCAAGCAAACTCGCAAAATTAACTCACAACACACCATGCATGGAAATATTGAATTTTTTTATTTAAAAAAGCAACTTTTATCCAAAAGCAGGCAAAGCAGGCAGATTGAGTTGTTCACAGAATCATTCAGTGATCTATCTAGCTGCCATCGGCTAGCTCAGTCTCTCACATTTGCTTGCTGTGAGTCTGCACTGAATTTGCTTGCAAACAAACCTTCAGTCCTAAGGAGGTTCGACTGTGCTTAGTTAGAAAGGAAGAAATCCAACCATTTCCTGCTTCCTAGCTAATCTAAATCTCCCGGCAAAGTAGAACAGATGATAGTCGGAAAAAGGAAAAATAGCAATTTAGCAGATAAGTTTGCGGGGTAAGAAGTGAGCGGGCGGGCTATGTGTGCTGAGCAGCCTTGTGTTTCTGGGCAGCCTGGATTAATTGCTTTGGGGGGGGTGCTCTGGGGGTGAGATTTCTCTGCAGCCCACCAAAATCTTATCACAGCCCACCAGTGGACCGCGGCCCACCAGTTAGCAACCACTGCCTTAAGGCACCATGTCTTGAAAGACAAGTCTATTTAATTGGTTATGTTTTCCTATTGGTTCTGTGCTTTTCCATTTGAAATTTTAAAACCATAATTATAAGTTTTGAAATCATAGACTAAATCAATTCTGTATAGGCCTAAAGCAATCAAAACTACTGACCTAAATAAAGCACTAGGTTTGAAGTTCTGTTGGAAGAAAGCTGCTGTTCCCGGTTTCTTTAATCCTCCATAGCAATTGTTTTTGGCAATGGAAAAAACAGTACTACTAGTAAAAAAAAAACTGGTTTTCTGGTTTTCCTGCATGTCTTGCTAGGGCTATTCTTTGGGTGATGAAAGAGTGATAAAAGAGCATAGCTGCTGTGCATGGATATTGTTCTAGGTTGGCCACTAATTTTAAGTTCAGTAATCTTTACTTACTGTTTTGGTAAAATGCTTCTGGTTAAACATACAATAACGGCAGGTGCAAGCAAAACCACAGTGGTGGTCATCTAAGCTAGATCATCAACATAGTTATAAATCATATTGACTTCAAAAACTGTGGAAGCCAAGACGTCTCATGAATGCATTCAAACTGTGCCTAAAATTTCAGCTGCTAATTGCAGGAAGTCGCTATAAGGATCCTCCATAAACTATTATTATTAAGTTAATATGTATAAATCAGCCAAGATCTGATATCAAATCTGAATTTATCTGAATTATTAGTTTGATTCAAACTAGCAATTCAGTCTGAAAGACAGAGTTATACCCAAATAATACTAACTACTATTGGATAATTACTATTGTAAAAATTCATTAAACCTTTGAACTGATTCAAAGGCACCTCATTTGATTAGATGTGTTTACAATACAGAATGTTGACTGGATTCAATTAAATTGTCTTCAATCTGCCATGATATATTATTATTAAAGTCTTATAAAAATGGCTACATTTATAATTTTACAAACCAATACCTCTCATTTTCTCCAAAAATGGTCCAGAAGTAGTTGTGAAGAAGACCTACTCAATTCATAATCAAGCTAACAAATATCACTTTCTAATAACAATTGATGCCCCATTTTCTTAATATCAGTTTGACATCTGTCTTCCATTCTCCACCAAATTTTGTCCTTTGTTTCATTTTAAGCATGATTTAGAATTTGTGATTCTCTTTATTAATTATTGTTGGCTATATTCAGATTTATTTGAAACTTCAACAGGCACAAAAATGCAAAGATGGGACAGATATTTGTACAATGGAAAATACAATGTCCATTAAAAATAAAGCAAATGTAAGACTCTAGCACCTCTACTGAGAAAAATTTCATTTTGCAATTAAAATTGTATTTTTCTATTTAACAATTGAAATAATTTTAAAGAAAAAATGGTGAATTATTAGAATAAATAATATTAAAAATGAGTATTGTAGATTGAAATTAGGAGCCCAACTTTTTTAGTTCCCACTTAATGTCCAGTGACTGCCACCCATGCCAAATTATTTCTTAAGATTCTTTGGTGGAAGGAGAATAAAAAGACAGAATACAATATAACTGCCACGTTACATTCACGGAAGTTAGATAAATGTAATAATGAAAAAAAAAAATTGTAATTCAATATTTCACATTTTAGTGGTCCTATTTTTGCATGATCTGATCCAAACAAGTGGAAAGTATTTTTTTTCTGAGTATTTATTTTAGTAATATGAGGATTGCAAGTGATCTCTCTCTCTCCACAATTTGCATTGTTCTCAAGTATGCATAATGTTATGTTTTGCTGAAGTGACTACTTCATGACAATGCTTTGCTCAATTCCATTTAATTTCATTTAATTGCTCGATAAAATGTAGTGTTATGGACAAGCAGCCTTAATTCCTCAATTTCCATCATGAATGCCTGCTTCTAACAGAAGCTAAATGATGTTATTTCAAAGTTGTACTATGTAAAGTAAACAAACATTCAAAAATGTCAACAGCCTTCATTTTGTGCATATGATATTTATATTTTTGGAAATAATGTGTCACTCTTTACAAGTTATCAAAACAAGTGTGAACCTATGGTCAATATCTAATGCCTTGCAATAAGTTACAATTCAGTCGTATAATGAATAATTATGAAATAATATATTCAGAAAATGAGTTTGATTCTTACCTCAGGCAACTTGGCTAGTTTATTTCCTGAACGTGAATTTAATCAAGACTTGGTAATAAGACTATATCTACCATAATGAACTTCAAGCATTGTAAGTAGAAATTTTCAGAGCTCAGTTCTTGAAATATGCTGCTTATAATTGGAAAGCTTTATATCTTTGTTTCACTTGTCATTTTTCTAATCCTCCTTCAAAGGTATCGCTTAGGCTAATATCTGGCATTGTCACCTGCTAATTTCAAATGAGAATAAAGAAATGTGCTTCTGTTTTCTTTTTAAATGAAAGGCTAAAATGTTATACAGTTCAGTTATTTATTGAATAGCTGCATTTGTACGGATATGCATAATTTGACTACTTTATGCCCTTTAGTCTTTGCTGCAAAAATAATATGTAAATAAATCTTTATATACATATGGATCATATGGATTGTTACATAAATTTCACCATATCCTGTCTATTGCCCTAGCTTGTGGATACTTTTTTGTGATTAATGGTTCACACACACACACACACACACACACACACACACACACACACAGAGAGAGAGAGAGAGAGAGAGAGAGAGAGAGAGAGTTTGTAGGGTTCCTTTAACTCTGATATTACTATCATCATCATTTAATATAACATTATTACATTCCTTGTATTACATCACCATTAATAAAACAGTCTACAAAGGACCTAATAACATTAAAACACAAGTATATTTACCTTAGTAAAACTATATAAAAATAAAGTGTATTAAAAATAAATCTCAGCCAGTTATTTTTTAAAAAAAATCAAATTAATACCAAACATGCAAAATCAAATGAATTGCTCAGTCTGGAAGTATTTTACTTGGTATAGAAACTTAAGAGGGTAGAGACATGTTAGTAATAGTAGAATAAAATACTTAAGTTGTCTTCAAATGTATCATGTGATACTGTAAGCTAAATATAGTTCTTCTTTTCCGCATCATAGGAACATAGCACCTACTTCTTGATTTATAGGTTTTAGTTCATCATAACATATAGGTTCTCAAAAACTCAAGGTTTTTGAGGCATCTTGTTCAGTCTAGCTTTTATTCATTTATTCATTAGTCAAACTTATAGGATGTTTTAATAGTAATTTATAGTTTTTGAAGGCTTACAACAGTGAAAATAAAAGAAAAATCAAACAAAAATCAAAACAAAGCAGTATAATTTATAAAATCAGCATGAAGAAATAGTAATATCCTTTACAAAACAATAAAAACATCTTTCTGTGAGCCGAATGACAACTCACTCTGTCCCAAACCAGATGGAAAAAACTAGGTTTCAAGGTTCAAGCAGGACAGATTTTGTGGGGAATGCTTTTCCAGAGGATCTGGGCAGCAACCAAAAAGCCACCAAGATGAGAAAAGAACATTCCTGCCAGATGATACTGTTTACCAGTGGAACCATGTCAATTCTGTCAAATCTGACTGAGCATTTTCTTACTACCTTTCAGACCATCTGATCTCCTAGAGAAGTAGTTTAACTGAACTATTGAACTATTCAACTTAGTTTAATTGAAGTGAAAGATACTTTTACTAAGAGATGCTGAGTATAGTAGAATCAGGTGGAATCCAAAGTTCCCATGTATTAATACAAATTTTCCCCAGCTCTCCCTCCATGGTCAGTCCATGTATAGTCAATCTGGCACCGCCAAGATGTTTTGGGAAGTGCTAAGGTGTTTAGGCTGGTGAAATACCATTCTCAGGGTATACAGCCTTGAAGATGCCAGCACAGAATAGATTCTAAAACACTCTGTTCTTTTTCAGCTGTCATCCCTTCCTACCAATTTCCCACCATCAAGATATACATTTTTATTTCCCATTTGTTCCTCCCTCCCTTCCTCAGTTCATTGTTGACAGAATACCAGTGGGGCGCCAAGCCAAAGGTAGTGGATCTGACACTCCTATTTTCAATTTATAGCAGGTATTCCAGTGTTATGATTGATGTTTGTTTTGTGGTCCACTCTGTTAGGTAAAATGAAGCCTTAGCATTTTGCTTTAATTACATTAAGATGTTTAACTATTTATTGTTTAACTATTTAAATAGGTTGTTTTTTTTAAGTTGTTTTTAATTTATTTATGTTTTGATAATTATTGGCTCTGCAGAAAATAATGTAAATAATTAATTACATAGCTACATTTTTCTATGTTATGATTATCATTTAAAATGCATTAATGGGTGATTGCTTCCAAAATAAGAAAGATAAAGTTATCACATTGCCTATTAGTTCAAAATCTCAAAGTGATTTTTTGGACAATAACACTGTGTGGGTCCAATTGAGAAAATCAACTCTAGCTGATCAGTTATTCATTCACTTTCTAAGCTATGCAAACAATAAATGAAATGTACATGGAGGTTTTACATTATTATAATTACATAAAATGTTTATTATCAGTTACACTATCACATGTTATTGTACTTTATGAATATCTATACTGATTAGGTCATACTCAACATTTGCATTTGGTTCTATTTTTATTGCATCAATCTATATAGTTCTGGTGCTCGTTCACCAATCAACCTGTATTAACTTCATCATTAAAGTGAATGAAATACTTTTTGACATATGTTTACACGACAAGGAATAGTGCATTATTTGCATCCAATGGATTCTTATTTCAACCCCAGTGTTATATAGTTTAGAATTTAGATAAATCACTTTACATGGACTTTGATTTTCTATAAAACTTACAATTTGTATACTTACTTATAATTGGTTCATTCTGGATGTGGCGTTCGGAAAAGACTGAGCTGAAGTCTTCACTCCGGTCCGTGTTTCCAGCGGGAACACGGACCGTTCCTATTGGCTGATGCCATTTGACAGCCGGCTATAAAAAGGAGCTGTCAAACAGCATCAGCTGTTGTCTGCCAGCTGGCTACCTTGTTAGCGCGGCAGCCACGGCAACCCTTTATTGGTACAATAAAGTAAAAGCTGAAGTTCGCTCCGTGTTTGCCTCAGGTTATTCTGCCGCTCCACAACACTGGTGACGAGGATGGGATACCTATAAGAGGCAACTGGGCAAAGAATCGCTGAGCGAAGTCACTACAAAAAGAGCCAAAGTCACTACCGAGCTGAATGTCACTTTAAGAGCTACTGTCACTATTCGCGAGCGCGAATTTCAACTTTCCTTGAAAGATCCAGCACTGCTAAGTCGAGATGACTTCAAACCCTGCATTCCCGCCTTTCAGACCGACAGTGGGAACATGGGAGTCCTACAGAAACCGATTTGACTGTTTCCTAGATGCCAAAGACCTTGCTGACATTTCCGACCATAGGGAAAAGTCCTACTTTTTAAGTTTTTGCGGAGCCACAGTGTTTGACACTGCTATGGCATTATTGGCTCCACGTTCAATTAAGACTGTTCCATGGGAAGAATTGCAGGAAATTCTTTCCAACCACTATTCCCCTAAGCCATCC